GTTTCTGCTCCAGAGCCGCGCCCCCCTCCCCAGGCGGGCCTGTGTTTCCTGCAGTTTCATCTGTTGTTCAGGCTGAGCTGCCACCCAGACAGGAGCCCCCTGGCCCAGTGTGAGCTATAGAAACAGAGAGCCCTGTAAGAGAGGGTTGAGTAAACGCAGACTCGTGTGAACTGGACGTCCTCTGGGAACGGACGCTCGGTCTGCGGAACAAGACCTCCTTTATGGGGAAGCGCTACCAGTGCCCCTGAAATCCTAGCTCCCCACTTCAAGCTCAGGAAAGACAGCTGGCAGCCCCACCCTCCCAAGGCCCTTCAAATTCTTGGCCCCCTGGCCACACAATTAGGGCTCTAGGTATTAATAGGAGGTCAAGGATTGTTAAACCTGGGCCCACCCCTGTCCCTCCTCCACCCCTACCCCCGCCCCGCATACACATACATAGGTCATGCTTGCATGGCAAAGGATGTGTTGTTTATGCGTATTTTTGAAATAAACCCACGAACTTCTCTGGTGTGTATTCAAAGGCTCTGATTATTTACAGACTCAATTGTGTCATTTCCTGCAAAGGCCATTTCTAAGAAAGCGCTTTCAGTATTTCCACTGCTCCCTTACATTTGCCGGAGCCCAGCAAAGAGCCCTCTTTCCCCCGGACTTGTTCATCCCGGCAGTGTTTGTGTTGAGCGCAGTCACAGTCACTCTGAGCTCCAACTTCTATAAATATTTGGAAAGGAACCTAACGTGGCATGCCAGACAGAACACTATGTGAGCCAGTGGTGAGTATAGGATCATTTGGAATCACTCCAGAATGATCCAGAAGGAAGGCGGCATTTGGATGTTCTTAGCCATCCAGCTCCCAGCCCACGTCGCCCCATTTTATCAGGGAAAGAAAGCGGGGAGTTAGCCCTTTGCCTGCTCATAGACCTCCCACAGCCTCTGCCTTATTTCACCCCGACTGCCAGCATCCGAGGGAGCGCTGACGATGTTGCAGGTTGCACCGCTCGCTGCCTACCGTGAGGTCAGAGGTTCAAACCCACCAGCCGCTTCTCGGGAGAAAAACTGAGGCTTTCTGTTCCTGTAAAGATTGACAGCCCCGAAGCCCTAAGGAGAAGTTCTGCTCGGTCCTACACGGTGGCTAGGACTTGGGCTGGGCTTAGTGGCAATGAGTCTGCGTGGTTTTGAGTCAGTGACCGTGTCTTCCAATCCCATGATTCAAATCAGTAGCTGCCATCAAGTCGACCTTGACCCCTAGTGACCCCTGGTGCCCCAGAGTTATCATTGCCCCATCGGGTTGTCAGGGGCTGAGGTTTGAGGTAGCAAGGATTTCTTCTGAGATGCATTAGGGTGAATTTGAATGATCAACCTCTTTATTAGCAGCTGGTCACTTAGCTGTTTGAGCTACCCAGGGACTGTTGTCAGAGCCCCAGCCCCCTGGGAAATTGGAAGTGAGATGGATGAAGAATACTTTGGAAACTAACTGTCCCCCAAATCCACTGTCATGGAGTTGATTCTGTCTGTCTCATAATGACCCTATGTGGGGTTTCTGAGAGTGTACATCCTTACAGGGGCCGACAGCCTCCTCTTTCTCCCAAGGAGCAGCTGGTGTGTGTGAACCAAAGACCTTGCTGTTTAGCTCACAATACCTAACCCCCAGCACTGCCAGAGAAATGAAACCCACTGCTATCAAGTTGATTCTGACTCCTAACAACCCTATAAGGCAGAGTAGAAATACTCGGGGTTTCTGAGGCTATAGAGCAGGAGTGGGGAGTGTATGGCCTTCCGTGTATGAGGCCTGAGAAATTGCCAGCACCAGCTAACGGCGCGTGCCTCACCGAAGAGAAGCTGTTCCAGCCATTACCTTCCATCAAAACCCAGACTCACTCCCATCGGTCACTTCTGATTCATAGAGGCCTTATTGGTCAGGTAGATCTGCCCCTGTGAGTTTACTCTCTTTACGAGAATAGAAAGCCTCATCTTTCTCTGTGGGGTGGCTGGTGGTTTTGAACTGCTGACCTTGAGGTTAGCAGCCCAAAATATATTCAGTAGGCCACCAGGGATAACTCTTAAGCTAATAATTTTGTGTGGCCTGAGAATATTATTATAAATATCCAACTGATCCTTGGCAGAAAAAAAAAGGTTCCCCACTTCTGCTATAAAGACTCATCTTTCTCCCCAAGATCAACTGATGGATTCAAACTAGTGACCATTTGGTTAGTAGCCCAATGTAAGTATAACTCAGTAGGCCAACTAAAATCAAACCCAAACCAAACTCACTGCCATCTAGTCAATGACAACGCAATGATGCCGTAGGCCAGGGTGGAACTGGCTCTGCGGATTTCCAAGACTAACTTTTTATGGGAATCGAGATGCTACTGAGATGTAAAGAACCAGAAGAGCCAGTCAGGGTGCGATGTAGCAATGATGAAAAATACAAGTTTCCTCTGGTTCCTAAATGCTTCCCCTCCCCCCACTGTCATGATCCCAATTCTACCTTGCAAGTCTGGCTAGACCAGAGGATGTACACTGGTACAGATAGGAACCTGGGGGACAGACGGCGGAGGGGTGGGTGAGGGGAGACGTCAGACAGGGCAAGATATGACAGAATAATAATTTGTAAATTATCAAGGACTCATGAGGGAGGGGGAGAGGGGAGGGAGGGGAAAAATGAGGAGCAGATGTCGGGGGCTTAAGTGGAGAGCAAATGTTTTGAGAATGACGAAGGCAATGAATGTACAAATGTGCTTTACACAATGGATGTATGTATGGGTTGTGATAAGAGTTGTATGAGCCCCCAATAAAGGGATTTAAAAAAAAAGGAAATGTAAAGAACCACTCACAGCATCTATTTATGGGTCTTCCTCACCCCCGTGTTACAGAGAAGGACATGGCACCCGCTACAGCAATGCTGGTTCGGCTTCTGTCCCTTAGGGTCAAAGCTGGACCACCTCCTTAGCAGAGCGAGTGCCCAGCAAGCCAGGCAAGCATGGGTACACAAGAAAGCACACGTGAGCCCATGCTTATCTGGCTCACTGGACACTCCACGTTGGTCAGGAATTGTCCATTTGAAAAAAAAGGACATGCATAAGGCTTGCATAAGGTGACCAGACATCCCGCTTTTGGCAGGACAGTCCCGATTTTTAACAATTCTTCCCACGTCCTGTGGCGTTTTTAAAAAGTCCCGATTTTTGGAAAGAATGCACGACAAGCTAGGGTAGACGGTTTTCGGCTGCCATGTGGCTATTTCGCCAGGATATGAGGTTTATCAATGGTGAACCGCTGGTGTCCCGCTTTACCGGTGTTAGAATCTAGTCACCTTACTGCATTCTGAAGGAGCGTGCTGTGGGGTCGAATGAGAAACTGTTGCCAGCCAGACCTAGAAGCAGAATCTTAGACTGCGGTGAAAGAACGTGAAATTGTTTGTTACAGATTTGTAAGTAAGCACATGTCAGCCCATGCTTACTTGCTTAGTGAGCGATCCAACACTGCCCTGCAATGCAGAGAGCCATCACCCCATCTCTTGAGGAACTGGACAAGACAGGCCTTCCTCCAAGACCCTTAGGCCTTTTGAAGAGCAGTGTTTTCCAAGGTGGGCACTACTGCCTCCTGGTGGGCAGGGAGTGGCAGGATCTGAAGCAGATATCCTGGATGGTGGGCTATATATAGCACAAGTTTTCTGTCTCGGGGTGCTGCTGGGTCATTTCTTTTGTGACAAAGAGAGCCATAGGTCAAATACATTTGGGAACCTATGCCGTAGAGGAACAATCGCAAGAGCACCGGGGTCAGACACAAATGCTGAACTAATGGTTGGACTTGGCTTGCCCTCTAGCTCATCGGCAAAGACATCGAAGAGGCCATAGAAGAAGAAACATCAGGGGACATGAAGAAAGCCTACTTAACACTTGGTAAAGTAAACACAAGCCACTCCCCGCCGTGGGCTGGTCTTTCTAGAAACAGATCCAGCGGCAGTGGTCTGTGTGCAGAATGTTTTTAATGGGTGGGTTTCGTCCATCCCAACACCTCTAGGCAACACTGGGCCGGGGAGAGGTTGGGTACAGTTGGTTCCAAGGCTGTGTGGGTCCCCCAGGCACTCTGAAACCCAAAAGCTCAATTCAAACGCACTGCCACTGAGTCAATTCCTATTCCTAGCGACTCTATAGGATAGAGTAGAACTGCCGCTGTGAGGTTCCGAGACTGTAAATCTTTAGGGGAGTAGAAAGCCTCATCTTTCTCCCACAGAGCAGCCGGTGGTTTCAAACTGCTGACCTTGTAGTTAAAAGCCCACTGTGTAACCCACTACACCACTAGGGTTCCTACTCTGAAGCTAGGGTATCCACATTGGAAGCACCGGCATTAACCAGTCACTGAATGTTGGGGGCACCCTGAAATATTTGTAATGTGGGTGAGGCAGCTCCCTCCTGTAGGGGACAATTCCTGGGGAGAGACTCAGCTGGAACCCCCCCAAGGTATTGGCCTTCTGAAGACTCACCAAGACCACGGGTCCCTGCGAGCATCTGTCAAAGCCGGTGACCACACTCTCGTCTCCACAAGCCGCACACACTTTGACACACACTCCAAGAGACACAAGAACAAGGGTGTGCAGATGCCCGATGACTGGAGGGCTTCCCTTTCCATTTGATTCTTTCAACACCTGGAAAGAATGAGATCCATTTAAAAAGAGCGGAGAGGGAAGCCAGCTCTTGAGCGCACCAAGAAAACACCAGGCCCATCTCTCCAGGTCCTGCCCACAGGCAGGAAATAGCAGAGATAGACGGGGAGCTGGGTCTGCCAGGCTCCTTGGGAGCCCTGGAAGAAAGGCATTGTCCATTGTCCACACTGCTGTGGGGAGGAGTCCAGGGCTTTGCCCCAAACGGCATCAGAACTGGAGAGGTGTCTCCCCAGAAGAAGCAGGAAAAGCAGCCTTGGAAGCTCAAAAATGTGCCCTGACTGCCAAACTTTTTTTCTAGGGGAGGAAAGGGGGTCAGTGTCAGGAATTGATTTTTTTTTTTGGTCTGTCTTTATTTTGAATTCAGATGAGTGGGACCCCAGCCATGGTATGCAGAGGCCTGAACGTCCCTCATATGACCCCGACCCACGCTCTGCAAACATAGGAGCCCTTGAATGCAGTGAGGGCAAAGGGTAGCAAGGGGGGTTCGCACCATCCAGCTGAGTCAGTCTTCAAGAGTGAGAGGTTTTATCACGGTGAAGTTGCTGGTTAGCCAATCTAAGTTTCCACCCAGAACCAGCTCCATCCACCATTAGAGACTGTAGAAGATTTGGGTGCAGGTGTGAGAACCCTGACTTTCCCTGGAAGTCCTGAGGATCGGCATAGCTCTCAGCCTCCAGAGGTTCTTCAAGAACAAGATGGCAGGGGGTGGGGGGCAGGGGCCACCGGGTCACTTCTGACCCATAGGGACCTTCACCACCACATAACAAAGCACTGTACAAGCGTTTCTATACTTGAGCCCATTGATGCGGCCACTGTGTTGATCCATCTCTTTGAAGTCTTTCCTCGTCCACTGCCCCTCCTCTTTACCAAACACCGTGTCCTCCAGGGACTGGTCTCGCCAGATGACATGTCCAAAGTATGTAGGACAAAGTCTCTTTAAGATTGGATCTTATCTGTCTGCGGTGGTTTGGGTTGGGTGTCGTTAAGGAGCTCTGGTGTCCTGGCCCGGGAGAATCTTCCCGATGCCCTCAGTATCTTGGTTCTTTCTCAGTCTCTGCCCCACAATTGTCAGCTCCATGGGCAGCCAGGTGACACTCGGCCAGCTTTGCTCCTTCTGAGGGAAGCCTCACGTTTGCTTTTCCCTCCCTTCTTTCTGCCCAGTGAGGTGTGCCCGGGACCGTGAGGGGTACTTTGCCGAGCGTCTGTACAAGGCCATGAAGGGTGTGGGCACCGACGAAGAGACACTAATCCAGATCATAGTGACCAGGGCTGAGGTAAGGACCACTCGGCTCCCAAGAGGCACATGAAACTTCCCCTTTCTCCATCCCTGAGGTCAGCCACAAATCACTCTCTATTGAAAGCTGATTTACAGAGAAAGTAAAATGGAGATAGCCCTTGCCTTCCCCGAGATGTGCAGCTAGTGTGCGCCAATCACTTGCTTTTTATAAAAATACAACCGTGATCCCTGCTTCTACTTTCATGGGCTGTGGCTCCGGAGCCTGGGGCAGAGTACAGAGGCGATCTGGTGTGAGGCACCACAGCTGCGGTCGCTCCGTTTTAAGGAAGACAAAACACATGCTAACAGGTTCTCTCCAGCTTCAGACGAGGTCACCCAGCTGCAGAGCCAAGACTCCGGAGACAGGCCTTTATTTCATTGCGTGTGCGCTGCAGAAGCACAAAATTTTATATAAGAAACACATCTGTACAAGCCAGTATTTTTCAGCCTCTTGTTCATGATTTCCTCCTCCTGCAAAGGAACCCTTCTAGGAGCGCTGGTGGCTTAGTGGTTACACACTGGGCTGCTAACCACAAAGTAAGCAGTTC